GATAATCTACAGATAATCACATAGATAATCCTCTTAATTTTGAAGTTTAAGAGTTAAATGCATTTGATCCTATAAAGAAACGCATTACAGAAGCCCACTTCTGCAGAGGCAAAAATGGTAACCAGAGATTAGACCCTTGCTTTCTTTGTACAGTGTTTATATTTGTAAGAATTATGTAGGCATAATTTTTTTTTATAAGCATTATAATACTTTCTAAGAACTACATGCCACTTTGTTTTCAAAGTGAATGAAGTATTTCAGAACAGTATTTTATTTAAGGTTATGTTTCCATGAAGATTTCAGTTCTGTTTTACACTGGAAAAGGTTTGTAAGAAAGCCTGCCAAAACAGTGATACAAGTAAAATAGTTAATTTTAGAGAGAAAACGTGTGTTAGACAATCTATCCTGTTTTCAAACAGAAAAATGTGCTTGGGATGTACTTGGAAGTTGTATCTACACTGTAGCTTTCATCATTATATGTAGTTTGCCCTGAAAGTAATGCCTCCTATTTATTTCTGTGAAAACTACAACAGATACAAAGAGAACAACAGCATTATTGGATACACCAAATTCTCGGTTACACATCACTATTTTTCAACACAGTCCCACCATTAACTATGCATTTTTGCCAGCAGTGAACAAGAATCGCCACGCTGTGCTTGTCAAAATCTGCATCAGCAAAGGTGACCCACTGTCACTGTTGCCACTGTTGAAACACAGCACCCTCTGCCTCACTGTGGTCACATCCATTGTTCAGTCTCAATATCAAGCACCAATGAATGTTAGTCGGTGTTATTTTTTCTGCATGGAGGAATTCAATGGCCCACATTTTCTTTGTACGCATTTCCATGTCAGGCACCATTCTATCAGACTGCTCCTCAGCTGCCATCTATCACAAGACAACAAAATATCATTGAATATTGTTGGGAAGCTTCAACCTCTACTGCCATACCACCAACATCCATCTCTGGCATTGCAGACCAACAGAATAAAATAGGAAGCATTACCATTCTAGCAACCCTTGCAGTTTTGTCAGTCAACAGGAAAAAAAATAAAAAGATTTTGTATTCAGTTAGTTAGCTTTCTGGCAGGAATTGTTATCATCTTTCCTAAGTTTAAGATGGAATTAAAAAAAGAATTTTGCATTGGTTTGGTAGCGATACCAGACGGTCTGCACACTTATTTAGAAGTATATGGATGTCACACACTTGTAAAATACGTGAGAGTTTCTTTCTGAATTCAAAGAGGCACGTGGTTATTTGTGTGTTTAGGAAGTGGTAGATGCTGGATGTAACCTAACAAGCGTAATTGCCTGAAGAATCATGTTTAAGTGCTGAAATACTTTTTCATGGCTGTGAGATGGAGAACAAACCACACAGTTTCTTGGACTTGCTTCTTACGCAGAAAAATAACAGAATACACATTATTTTCTAGTCTATGTAAGCATAGAATGGTTAGTAGTCATCACGTGAGTAATATAACATTGTTCTGTTCAAGTATTTATGAGGAAGAGATCGTTCTGTGTTCAACTCACCTCCTACAGTTATCAGAAATTAAAAGCAATAACAAAACATCTTAGTCTTTTTGAATCATTTGTGTAGTCAGCCATTTTAGACTCTTAATACTGAAGTGAATGCTATATTGCTCCAGAGAACAGCCAAATGTCATGACTGCGTGATGTTTCCGTTCGCTTAAGAAAAATGTCCACATGAATTAAAGTACAAGAGCAAATGTATGAAATGAAAATGTGTTCTAGGTAGAGGTGGCTGATCTGCTGGGCTCTCTCATCTTTTGAACACAAGTACACAACAAATAAATTTCCCAAATTAATTCTAAAATTATTTCCTAGACCTTCACAGAGATTCACATTTTTTTCTCTCTCATCTTTCTTTTTTTTCCTTCTCCTATCAGACCAACCACACGAGCTCTACTACCTTTGTAGCTATTTCTCCTCATATTAGTCTTCCATGGAATTCACACTTAGACATAGTTGAGTCTTACCTGGAGACCAGAATAACTTTGTTTCTGTATGTTTCCCTGCCGATAAAGGAGATTCCTGAACAAATTTTGAAACAGACTATATCCAATTTCTATCATATCACACAAAATCTTTCCCATTAACTGCTAGCCCGCTGCAGCTAGCTGTACATTCTGTACTTTAACATAGCTGTGCTTTTCAAAACAGGGACTTATATTTGAAAATACATCCATATAATTTGTAATTATTTATAATACCCAAATCAAGATGCTTCAGACACTTTACCAAACTGTCCATCTACACTGCTTACCTTTCTGATCATTCTCAAGACCGTTGCTGAAACCTTTCAAACCATTTTCCACCACATGAAAGTCATTTCTCTTGGCCTCCATTCCTGGTGGATAATTATATACCATTAGTGTTAAGCAGAAAAGTTCTTGATCATCTTTCTACAGAAAGGCATCAGACAACTTGTGTGGGAAAACTGAACACGCTGAACAGTAGAAAGAAGAAATGCACATGGCAGGAGAAACAACTTAAAGCATCATTAATTCTTCCTGCTCCATTAGATCAATTAGCTCATATAAACATATGCCAAGCAATGGACTTTCTTTCTTGACCCTGTACAGCTCTCAGACACTTGTTTTCCTCTAAGACAGCTACTTATACATGTGAGTGATGTATGATTTTAAAGAGCGCTCAGGTTAATGGTGCAAGCAGATGTCTGAAACAGTGATTCAGACATCAGCTAAAATGTTGATAACTAAGACCTACTCTAAATCTGCTATTAAAATGAAAGTAGCACCAGACTGTGAAGAAGAAAAGCTGATTTACATCTGCATTTGTTCAAAATAGGAAAGGAAAACAAATAGGAATAATTTAAGCTATTAGAAAACAGGCACAGAAGATGCATTAGCACAGGTATTTCATCTTTAGACTCCACTGTCAGCAGCGAGCGTCAAGTGTACGAGACAAAAACCTGGACTGTCAGTTATCACAGAGGATTAGATTTCTGCGTTAAATTGCTCTGCTCTATAAAGTGTTGATTGTTTAAAAAACACAGTTAGGCAAACTAAGATTTGTAATTCCTTAATTACACTGCTTCCTCACTGGTACACACTTAAACAGCAGGAAAGAGAGCAGTCAAACTCACAGAAACATTTTCAGGATGAAAAAATGCATCCATAATCTGTTATATCCACAAACATGAAATGTCATCTATTTTAATGATAGTTGTAGTCAAGGCTTTGAAGTTTAAATGCTACGTGGTGATAAATATCACAAAATATCTAGCATTAAATTGCCTATTGCATTATTCCTCTAAATTAAAACACATTTGTATAAATGGGTCTTCTGCTTTTTGTTTTGTTACATTTTGCCTTTTTAGGGGCTTTTCTTTGGAGTAATTCGCTACTCCTGTTGCTGCATTTTGCCTTGTTGCAGTACTGCTTGTCATGTGTTAGCTGAGAATAAACTAGAAAGCTTTTAACTACTACAATTAGTATGTGTATTAGAACCTCACAGATACACAGATAATTCAAAAGCACCCCTCTGTCTCCTTCAGCAAACCTAAAAAAATGAAGTGGTCTTAAGATTTAGAAAGCCAATTACAGTTGTAATGGACAGAGTGGGAAGAACTTGCATGTAGAAACAAGATGGTCATTTCATTTTCTTTCATACTGTTCACTGCAGCAGTAATCTGGTAGAGACCAGATTACTGGTCTCCTTTTTAAAACCAGATGCAACTCTCCTTTTTAAAACCAGATGCAAGTTTCATATTTATTCAGCTAATTCAGAAGTCAAGAGTCATGTCATTACCTGGCATCACAGACCAGAATTCTCTTGAACTGGAGACTCAGATTTTACCAAAATATTATGAGGAAAATATTATTTGCACTCCTTGAGGCAAACCTTGTTTGATTTCCTATCTTTAAAAAAAAACAACAAAAAACACCACACAACAACAAACTGATATCTTGCCATTGAAATACAAAATAAAATCTTGCTTGATTTAATGGCAACATGTTTTTAAAGTACCAATATCTGCAGCAGGTTACATTAGCTGAAATGTTACGTTGCCACAATGCCTCAATTTTAGGTAAATAACTTACGACCTACGGAATGCTTCAGAGTATGAATAGGTTTTGTTATCCTTCATTTCACCAATTGCACTGATAATTACTATTTCATTGTCAGAGAACAATCAACAGGGAATAATCCAGGCATTGGATGTTATGTTTTTTTATTTTGCAGAGCATGTTAGTATTACAACATTAGGTTTCAGCTTAGCATATTCTTTACCTGCTTTTCTTGTTATACAGAGGGAGATATACAGCACAAATTGTAATCACTTCTAGACTTTGCTGTTCAAACAAGTTAGGAACAGGAGAAGCAGGGACAAATATTTCATTCATACACTGAAACCTGCTACCTCTTCTAAAGTGTGTGAAATAGGGCAGCGAGAAGCTCAAGAAAACTAAAAACTTCCACCTAAGTGGCTCCCTTAGATTCTTCAGGCTGCCAAGTATAAAAAGATATATATTGAAATAGGGAGGTTGCAATTATTTTGCCTGCCAACCATGTCTGTGTTTTAAAAAAAGTGGACTATGACATCATGGAATTGAATCCATAACATTCCACTTCTACAAGAGCACTGCATAGACAGTTCTGTAAGCATTCAGAACCATATTTATTTCATTTTTGCCCCAGCACGGTCAGCTGGGGAATGTAGGAAGGACAGAAGCATGTAGCACATTTCTAGACTGGCTTTTTCTGACCAATTCCACCAACTTTGAAATAAGCCACGTTTTATGATTCATACAAAAAACTTACCTTAAGAATTCTTGGAAGAAAAAGTCAACAAAACTAAAGCCAATTACTTTAGGTAGAGATTCAGCTCTTTTTTCCTCTCAGTTTTCTCTCGAAAGTACATACTGGTCACCCACTGCCTTCTCTCAGCTCAGAGCAGAGAAGCAGCAGGACACTACACAGCAGGATACAGCTTACTGACCTTGCTGATCATAGCATCGGGGAGCAGCAGTAGTGTTCTTTTTGCACTTGCCTTCAAAGCTTCCCAAAGCAGTTTTGCAGAATCCAGACCCACACGTACGGAGCTCCGCAGACTCTGGACTTGATCACAATCCGCACCCAATGGCCGTGTTTGTCCTGCTGCTGTTTAAAACAACAGCAACACAACTACAACAACAAAGGAATAACAAAATAAGAAGGAAAGCAGAAATTGTAAGCAGAAACTGCACAATAGCCAGTGATTACAGGTATTTTTCTTTACTATGTTCACCTAAGTGTTTTATTGCATTACTACGTATTTGGACTGGATGATCTTGAAGGTCTTTTCCAACCTTGGTGATTCTGTGATGTAAGGTTTGAAGAGAAAGAGCAAAACTGAACTTTGTACTATGAGAAAGAGCAAATATCAAGCACCAGCACTCCAGAGAATTAGGATTACTTATTTATGTATTTTGAGGAAGGAAAGATAGCTATCTAGAGGACAACTACCTGTACATTTTCGTTGTCTCCAATGTTAGGGGCTTTTCCAAGTAAAGCTCTGCAATGAAATTTTCTGCCAAAATACATTAGGAAACGAATGGAGTGGAAAACCAAGGACGTAGTTTTAGAGCTTTTCCTTCTGCATTATTCTTCAAAGGCCATTTGTGACCTCTCCATTTTTGCCTGAGGTGCCAAAAGGTATTTGCTCACACTGCGCCCACTCAAGATTTTGTGGTGAAACAATAGGTGTATGGGGTACGAGTGAATACAGTTATGTAAGCAAGTCACAGGGTTGTTCTGATATTTAACTGAAGGTGAAACTTTTCAAAATGACAATCCTATTAATTGCTGAAAGCTTAGCATCTCATCACCAAAGTCTAAAAGCTTCCAGTAGCTTTTGCAGTCTGAGCACAATATCAATTATAAGTGTGAAAGAAAAATCACAAAACCTCAAGTCAAGTCACATAATCACCTAGATTATATTAATTCACCTCACCTCCTAGTTCTACCTCTTAGTTTTATGCCTCAATGACCTTAATTGTGAAAACTCAAATGAAACAGAAGTAGCTCACAGCATGCCATGAAAGTCGGGAGAAAGAAATCAAGCTCTGTACAGACAAGGGAAGGTGCACCTAATGAACAGAAGACTGTTCTGAACACCCCAAAAGAAATTTGTCCCTCCAGTGCAAATGAGATGAGTGCCATTCCTTCCACCAGCCACATCCCAGAGCAAGCAATACTAGAAGACTTGCCTTAATGGATTAAAAACAGACATTTCAGACATACTGACATCCTCGATCAATTGCTGCCGAGTAAAACAAAGCATTATATTTTTTCTGCATACTTTGAGGAATTTATGTTTAATAAAAATTTTCACACACCAAGTAAAAACCGAAAATCAAATAATAGAACTAGGGAAAGTATAAAATGACAGACCCAGTACAGCTGAACGTCTCTGCATATTACTTCCAAAACAATGTCACCTTACAATAAACAGGTTCTCAACTCATTTATACATTACCATAATATCATAACATTAACTTACAGTAAATTATATGCTTGAGTTTTCATTTCAGCAGAATATTTAACTGTCTTTTTTAGAAGGTCATAAAAATGAGAATTAAAAAAAGAACTAATTCTTCCAAGGGTATTTTAGTCTTCAAATCGTCTATACACAGAAATTACCAAAAGCTCAAGCATCATCATTTAATGAGTTTTCCACATGGTCAGTTACCTTCACATCTCTTTTTCTTTGCCTTTTTCGTCTATTAGTCTTCAATTTATCAGTTATAAACAGACAAACCAACCAAGCAACACAGAGATTATTTGTTAGCAAACCACTTTGAATGGCACTATCATCTCTGATTTCCAAAAGACATCTAAAACATATGTAACCCATTCCAAGAATTGCCAGCTGATCAATATAACTTATTATACCCATGAAGAGTAGAGTCCCTTTTTATTCTTCTTTCTCAGTTAGCTGATAATGAAAGCCATCTGAAGTCCTGTTTCACATCTCTAAAAGAAAAACCTCTTCTGAAAATGGATTTGGTACAGTAACGCTGATCCAGGAAGTCACAGAATCTCGCCGATATGTTCTGCCACTATTTTTAACTTTCCAGAAATATAAAGAAAGAAATTTCAGGATGGAGAAGTTGGATTGACACAGTTTTGTTGATTAGGGGTACTATTTGTGCTCAGAAGTTGCAGTCAACCAATAAACACAGAATATGCATCTTTTTCACTGGTACATATAGACTCAGTCCCTGTTTTAGTGCCCAACATTTCAATAAGCCACTTGCAAGGTTAAACTGTAATTATGTAACCATGGTAACATTGTTGATGTAGTAGATATGTAAATATAAAAGATCGGTCTTTAAAGCCAATAAGAATCAGGCACCTGATGTACTAATTACCGTAATTAGGAAACATTTGAGAAATTTACACATTAATTAAGATAAAAGGTTTATTTAAGGTAATTAAGGCCTGGAGCTATTTTCGGCCAGGAAACTGTTCATCAGATCTTGCTTTTCTGCAGGTGATCTTCTGAGTTCTATGTAGATGAAAACACAACTAGTTAAATCACGAGCACTTATTTAGCCTTATTTAAATCTGAAATTTATCTGGCCCTTTGGATGTAACCTGGTTGAGGGACAAATGGAATAAATACAGGCAGGAAAAAAGAGGCAATTCTTTTTCTCCTGAGCACTCTCACAGCTAGGAGGGCCTCAGCGCCTCACATGAAGGACGAGATTTGATTCTGCAGAAAAAGCACTCAGTCAATACTGCATTGCTTCAAAACTCCAGAGGAAATTCAGGATAGATTCTATCTGCAGTAATAATAGGCTGAGAGAGAGAAGTAATCATTTAAACAGAAATGTTTTTAAAAACTTGTGTTGGATTGGTTGATTTGCTTGCATGGTCTATGCATACAGAACTTACTTATGAGAGTCTGAAAAAGATTAAATACAATTACACAATACTTAAATTTTTCATAAAGAAAAACAACTGTATGTTACAAATACTAAGAAATGATCTGCAGTTAGTATTTTGTAGCACCCTCTCATTGCTGAATAAGGATTGTTATTGAACCTACTCACTATTCCAGAGCGTCACAGATTCACAAACTGGGGATAAATTGGTTTTTGACTCCTAAAAGACAACATTGCTTTAACTGTTGCTCACAAGTCCAGTTTTTTCTCCTTGAATTTAGTTTTTCTTCAATTTTCATCCATTAAAAAACATGAAGAAACTGAGTCACAAAATGTGCAATATTCTTTAAGATCATGAATCATGGATAAAGAGTTTGAGATTTTCTGGAGTTTTGCCTTAGAATCCTACTCTAACTCTCACCCTTCTGAATGCAGAACAAAAAAAAAAAAAAAACAAAACAAAAACACAAAAAAAAATCTATTTTATTGATAAAAAGTACCATAATAAGAGAAGCTGCACTTGGACATTCAACTCCTTTCATAATTTGCCACTTGCTCCTCATCTTCTGGACCAAATAGCGAGCTAGAGAGAAGGCAGACAGCAGGGAGCACAAAGGCAGGTGACATCAGCATCCCCAGAGGAAAACAAGGGTCTTCCAAGAGTTCACTGCTGAGTGTGCAACTGCATCGAAAGTGCTAAGATAAATTTGGAGTCTCCTGTTTGAAATGTAAATTAGCTCCAGCTATTTTGATCAGTCTGCTGCAGCCTGAATTTAAGGGTAGCTGTGCGGTTACTATGAAACAGAAAGAAAAAAATCTTGCTGTGCCTTATTACAGTTAAATAGAAATATGTGCTTGATGTAATAGCTTTTGAGAATATTATTTAATTGTCATATAAAGGCAGGTGCTGTTGAAGCTAAATTCTGGAATTAAGTAAATATTTGGTATAAGGCGAGAACAGATCTTTGAAATTGTTTCTAATATTTTTTCTAATCTCTAATAAATAAGATCTTTTCATAGAAAAAAAGAACAAGAATGAATGGAGTGTACCATGACTAATGTCAAGTTATAGATTATAGCCTAAAAGTGCCAGAAGACCCACACTGGCAACTCTGAAAAATAAGGCATAAAACTTCTGAAACGGGAAAATAAACACAACAACAAAATAACATTACTTATATGTCCTGTTGTGAATGTGCTGACCAAAAGGAAATCTTGCAGATATTACTCATAAGCCACAATATAAATCCTAGACTCTTTCACCAATTTTATGGTATAGATTATAATACAAATTCAGTGCACAACATTGTTCACAATGTTCCTGAATGCAAAAATGCAAGAGAACTCCAAGGGATTCAGTCTCAAGTATCATCTGACTGTTAAACAAGAGAACTTATAATTGCTACTCTGAAATGCATGTCAAAGAGTCAGCTCTAAATATACATTTCTAATTTAGGCTATATGTGAAAAACTGAATGTTCAGACTGACATTACGGTTAGAAGAGAAAGCTTATAGTATGTGTGCATATATATATATATGTAATATATATTATATATATAATGTATATGTGTACATATACATATGTGAAGGGTGAAAGTTACTCAGTAAAAGCCAGTCTCAGACTTGCGTTTCATAACTATTTTGCATGCACTTAAAAATTTAAATATTTCCATATTGATTGATGTACTACACTGGAATACACAGAACTTTTTCTTAAAGCATAGTAGAATGGATTGGGTAGAAAGGGCCCTCTAAGATCATGTGTTCCAAACCCCCTGCTATAGGCAGGGACGCCTCCCTCAACACCAGGTTGCTAGGAGTCCCATCCAGCCTAGCCTTGAATGCTTGCAGGTTATACTTGTTTTCCTTTTTGACCTATTCTCCTTAGATTTGTTACTTACATCAGTTACAATGTAAAACAAATTGAGCTCGAAAAAAAGAATCAATAAGACAGAGAAAAGACTAAGACCTTTATATGTTTTCCAAGGTAAACAATTACAAAGTGCTATTTTTTGAACCAGAAAGTATGAAATGTCCATCTAAAGTAAGAGTAAAATGTGGTTTTCCCCTTCACCCTAGGAAATATATTTACATGCTTATTTTCCCTGCTTACTCTGAATACCTCAGTTATAAAATACTTGAACCTGTATTCACATACCTGAATGTGCTATTACACTTCCTAGTGTAATGCTTATAGGCATAACAATATGGAAAAAATTTAGGTTTTTTTTTAAAGTTGACTGTAAAATCTAACCAAATGCAAAAATAAATGTCAAACAGTAGAGCAATACTGCCATTATCATCACTAGGTATTATTCTGCAAGTAAAAAATTTCAGCTGCACTTAGAAGCTTCACATCTAAAATTGAAACATACATAATTTTATATGTTCATCACAAATAAGGCATTTATTTATTTTCATATAGAGAGTATTTATGTCCAGGAGAACAAAAGAAATATCTTTTCTCCAGTTCTCTTCTGAAACATTTTACACCGTGTAGATCTGAGCATTTATGTCATTCTTGCATCAGTTACATTCTCTGACATCTCATAAAATACATACCTATCTGTTGTTAGAAGACAGCCACAGGAGAAATGTAACTGGAATCTGAATCCTTTCTACCTCCACCCAAACAGATATCATTCTATTAAGTGATATCATAATGAAAATCTTGAAGTATGGATTTAAAGAGAAGAAAACAGCACTTCTCCCATTATGAGCAAGCTACCAGTATAACATCACTACTTGTTAAAGACTTCCTAAATTCTCACAGAAGGAAGATTTGAAAATTCAGTTTCCCTTTCTTCTCATCTTTTGTTCTGAAAACAGCCCTACTTCATGTCTATGTGCTCTCTAAACCCTTGATTGTGTCATTTTCCCCCTAAGCCCAACTGCCTTTCTACCTGTCACTCAGCTTTGTGTCTACTGCCTTTCCCCTCCCACCCTCCTAACGATCTCACAGCCAAAGGTTGCATGGGATATTGTATTACCACAGCCAAAGGTTGCATGGGTTATTGTATTATCAAGCATGTAACAAAAACATAAGTAGATAATGGAGTCATGCAGCACTGCAGATCATACTGTCTTAGAAAGAATTACGGCAAAATTCACTCTGTCTTTTCCAGGACTGAAATACTTTTCTTTGAACTTCTCTTCTTCCAATTAACATAAATGGCTGTGAAGGTGGGAGGTCGAATGAGCCACTTACAAAAAGACTATCTGCTGCACACATTTTCTCACTTTGGGAGAAGATGCAAGAGCACAGAGCCTGAGACCTATTTTATTCACTTTGTTGACTGAACAACATAGAAGGTACTCAAATAATGAAGCCAATGGATTTAATAAAGAAAATTTTAAGAAGGCATTCATCTTTTGGCTACTATCTAGGAAGAAGCTTCCTCCAGTCCTAGTTATTTTACGAATTCATATATTCATTTTTATGAATAACATCCATTGTTTTTTGATTAATAATTATTTTATGAAAAACAAGTGAGAAAGTATAAGTCATTCTGTTCAGTGCAATAGTAGCCTTGAGATGTGAAATAATGGCTGCTAACCTAGAATACAGAACTACTGTGACCTACTTATGTTTTGTAAGAGTACTTATGTTTACTCATGTTTTGCAAGAGTACAACTGTCTATTACTTCAAAATGTCAAAGATCAGAATCATTCCAACTTCTAAAGTACTACACTGACGTCAAATGTTGTGTTTCAGACAAGTACAGTAACGGGATGAAATAGACAACCTGAGAAGTGCAAGGGCAGAAAAGTCACATTTTCCTACATTAATCAACTGTTCAATAAATACAAAGCTCTTAATGCTGTTAAAAATCTAAATATCTCAGGACTTTACATGCTTTGCACAAGTTTACTAGTAGTTAACCTGGCTCTGTTCATTACCATCAGTTTTTGTTTTTATAAATTATGGTGCTCATTTTTTGGTTTGTTTGTTTGTTTGTTTTTCCCCCCACATGGCAGCTAAGAATAATAATTCAACACTTTGGCTCCAAGATGATTCAAAATACATAAACACAGCTTTAAATCAAGAACTAACCAGCCGGTGAGTCCTGGGACTCGCACTTTACTCCTGAATTCAGAATGCTAAGTACTAATTTTAATCTTAAAAAAATAATAGTAACAACCAAAACATTTGGTTTCCTTAACAGGAAAATGTGCCTCTGACGAGGTCAAAGAGCAGATGAGAAGTAAATAAAAATGAAATAAAAATATAAAATAGATATGCTACCTTACTACGCTTTCAGCGTCATAATGTTCAATACTCCTTGTACTGTAAAGTTACTGTTCAGTTTCATTAAAGATTTTTCTATGCAGTATAGTTGTTAATTGCTTGAAGAGTGTATAATCAATGAAAATACAGATGTTACAATTATGAAATACACAAGAGAGTTTGGCTAAGCAGGTTATTATACCAAAAGAGAATAGAGAGAGTGCTTACCCATGTGCCAGGCTTGCTGTAAAACTCCAAAGCAGGGATTTCCAGTAGAGATCCTTCCCCACTGGTAGTCAGCTCTTAAATAGGTCCAGCAGCACAGGTGAACTGCCTTCACCTGTGCTCCCAGGGCTGACTCAGCACTCGGTGATCAATCAGATGTTCAGGCCTTGATTCAGCAGTTCCCATTTGAAGAGTGACATGGTTTCAGACATCAACACCTTTAACACAGTAGTTCAACAGAAACCATGAATCGATCCTAGGCCACTGCATTAATCAGTCATTCAAAACCTAGTAAAAAGTGAAATATTTATGAGCACTAGAAATAAAAAAATTATGGATCAAAATCACGTGGGAAGGGTAGATGCCTAATAAGAAAGAGTTTCTAACACAATCTTCAAGGTCTATCAAGCTCCGTAAGAATCCCTATTTCCAGTACTCATTTCCATGTGTTACAGAATTATAGAATCAAAGAGTCACCGCTGTTCAAAAACACCTCCAAGATCATCCAGTCCAATCACCAACCCACCATCACTATGACCCCTAAACCATGTACCTCAATGCCACATCTAATCTTTTCTTGAACACCTCCAGACACAGCAACTCCATGACCTCCCAAGGCAGCCTGTTTCAATGCATTATGAGTCTTTCTGATGAGGAATTTCTCCTTACATCAAACTTCAAATTCCCTTGGCACAACATGAGGCCATTACTTCCGATCTTATCACTGAGAGAAGAAACTGACCAACCCAACCTCCCTACAACCATACAGTCTCCCCTGAGCTGCTTCTTTTCCACTCTAAATGATCCCAGCTCCCTCTGCAGATCCTCAGAAGACTTGTTACATTCTAATTTTTCTCCTCTTTTTGAATCTGGACATTCTTTTTAGAAGTATGAGCAAAAAATGAAGAAGTAACTTCTCTTCTAATACTTCACTCTCTTGAATCTGGAGAACATATACCATAAATGTATTCAAGTCTGGGTTACTGCACATCTGCCTGAGCATCAATACATGGGCATTTATTTTCATAGAAGTTCAATGTTTACCAAGGCTTTGGTATCTGAAATCACTCTAAGAGCTATTTTTTTTTTTACAAAGACTGTATTCCTATTGAAATAGTTTACAATATACCACATAATATGAATATTTACTTAACAGAGAGGGCAAGATTTGAGGACAGAACAGTAAACTATACCAGTTTCTTCACACATACTCTTAAATTGTATTCCATTCCTACATATAAAATAGTCCCTACCTCTCCTTCTAAACTATCAAGAGAATTGCTTCTAACTTTTAAAAACAGACTCGAAATACTTTCATCTGTTTCCTTTTTGAATCTATAGAGAACAGAAAATGATTAAATATTCTCTTAATTAAGAAAAGCATTTCCTAAAAAGATTTCTAATCACAGATTAGAAAAGAAGGAAAATTGTTTGGTAAAGGATGTGTGCTAGAAACTGATAAAACACTTTTGGAACTCTTTTGGCATATGGATAAGATAATTGGAAAGTTTTGAACAAATGACTATTTCCTTGACGTGTAAATTGCTATATTAATTATTTCATTAGATGTTCATAATTTATTTTTCATATTAAATCAAATATCATATCAATTTGTTGATGAGTACCCAAAGGTAGGTTTTCTCTTAGTCTCAAATGATAGCACATTATCAAAACTCAATTTGATTTTTGTCATATGTTCCTTTATTGTATGTGCACTGCTTGAAAAGCAAACAATCCTTTCTTCCATTTTGACTCAATAAAATAAATTAAAAAATAGAAACATGAATAGCTGGATAATTCCACGGTAGGAAGTCATGTAAGTATATCCAAACAGATTTTTTTGGATCAAATACTTCATTTCTTATCCTTAAAGAGAGCCTATTACACTCTTGGCAATACACAAGGTAGACCTAGGCCTGGACCTAGAGCTAAAACGATGTGACTTTCTGTCATAAGGAAACCAAAGATGTTTCAAGTATTATTTCTTCACAAGTTTTGCCAAGACTGTTTTTCCGAGCCACTTCCATTGCATGATACTTCACTTCTAGGACTTAAGAGAAAGAGTAGGAAGCCTCTTCATGATTTACTGTTTGGAATATTTATTGGTATAATACTTATCTGTAGAGAAGGAAACAATAAAAGTGAGAAAATTCATGAGTCAAGTTCATGTTGACACAGCGTATAATTTTTCTGGGTGGCAGCAGAGCTGATCTTGACGCCAATTTGTAAAATAAATGAGAAGCTTTGGTATTAAGTACTAATATCATGGAGCTCATCTCCTGGCTCACCCAAAATTCAAACACTAGGTCTGAGAGTGTGTTACAGGCACAATACTGTGACTGCTGCCCTGGGTAACCTGTTCCAGTGCCCAACCACCCTCTGGTGAAGAACCTTTTTCTCAAACCCAACCTCCATGCCATTCCCTTGGATCCTGTCACTGTCAGCAGAGAGAAGAAATCAGCATCTGCTGCACCTCTTGCCTGTTATTACAACACCTTATATTTTAGACATATTTCCTGTTACAAGAGTTTAGACTTATTCTGTATTTTATGAAAACAACAGCATCAAAATTCCCTTGACTTTAGAAGTGACAGAGAAATAGATGAAAAAACTTCTAGCAGGACCATCCACCTTTCATATCATCTGAATAAAATACATTTTTTCCCTGCATTTAGTATCGATCTATCGGCAAAATCTGTTCTCAGTTGTATTCCTAGCTCTATGGCAGAAATCAAGGCAGACAAAATCTGCTTGTTAATACACACATGAAAAGGGGAAGAACAACTTCACAGTATAACAAAATGTAATGAACATCTCTCTTCCCTTTCTACTTTGCAGAAGTTTATGCAACCATGCAATTTTTGTGTCATTTAGTGATTTCTGTTCAGGACAGTACCATCATCTGTGAAAGCCTTGAGATTGTCAAACACATATGAATTAGATCTGAATGTGTGGGCTTTTTTCTCTCTAAGTGAAGACAATCTACGTATCACCAACCACACCAGCAATTTGTAGCTATTCCCTCATATGAGGTAAAAGCAGAAGGGTACTTTAGATCACTGATGTCAATGACTAGAGCTCTGTTTCCTATCTGTAATTGTCAGCCAGGTCATCTTGGGTTTTAAAAAATGACACAGCCTTAAATAACTGGCTTTCAAGGGTGAAATCAGACTTTTAGTCAACATCGTTTAAGTTTAAACAGCAGCTCTTGAATTTCACATAGCACCTTCTGCTGCAGTCTCTCTCAACACCTATTACCATGAAACACCAACGGTACATAGTAGCTTACGTTACGACACTGCAGTTAATTGCCTTGCTGTATGTAATTTTCCTCCTAGCTGTTTAACATGCAATTATTATTAAACCATTGCATTCTAGTAGAATCCAGATGCTCACACTGAAATCATAAGCCCTTTCGTTAAGAGACTTACAGTATTCTTAAACTAATTTTTGCCCTCAAGAATTTGGAGTCTAAACACAAAGTAGGCAAACAAGCTCGTATGAATGGAAAAATACTCTCAAATGGAAGAGAAAGATCATTAAAAATAAGTTTCTTAATAAGTACAATGCTCAGCAGTAACTCCTTTCAGAATTGACTCCTAAAACCTGACCTTAATAATGAGAATATTTTAATGACAGTTAATGACATTTTTCCAGCTGACTTCAAAGAGACTGGGATTTTACCTTGTGAATCCAGATCGTGTAGAAATCTGATCTGCATTTCAAATGCAGACTGTAATTGTCCTCAAGTATTGTTGCATGGATTTTATGGAATTAATTCCCAGTAGGTGGCTGTAATTTCATCTTGATTTCTTCGGTTGTTCTTGCACTTGATTACTTCTATGGTATGGCTTGAGAGGAAATAAAACATTGACTGAATTAGAATCAGTTCGTATAAACACCTGGGATTGCCCTGACCCAAGTGCAACACCTTGCACTTGGCCTTGTTGAACCTCATTAGGTTCTCATGGGTCCACTTCTCCATCTTGTCCAGGTCCCTCTGGATGACTTCCCTTCTCTGCAATGCTATCGACTGCACCACTGAGCTTGGTGTCATCTGCAAACCTACTGAGGGCATTGCTTTAAGAATCATCAAGTAGAACAGATCCTACTGATTCTATCATTATGCTTAATTACACACACAAAAAAAACATTTTATGATAATAAACATATACGTACATATTTATACCTGATGCTATGATATGTTCAGTATCTGTAAGAAAAGAACTTCAGGAGACTTGATACCATGAAACTTGACAGTTTATCCTTGCACTTCCCAGCTTCACTGATTATATAAGTGCTTTTTTTTTTCTGTTGTTATCAATAACAGGCAATCGTAATACAGGTTTATGTTTTGTAGTAATTGTATTCCAAATCTGATGTTACTTCTATGAGTGAAATGAATGGAGAAGCCATCAACTGGCAAGGGTTAGGAGTTTTCAGGAATGATTTATTTAGTTTTGGTATAATACACTGACTATAAACTATCACATCGCTTAGCAAGAGCATGAGACACTTGTCTTTCTCACATGGGAGATTTTACAGACACAGAACTGCTTTTCAGTATGCAACGTTTGTTCATCTTTCTGTTATCTTATTTCTCTAGGATCAGTACGTTGAACAAATCAGTGCTGATTTGAAACCTTCTGAATCTCTAGCATCTGTTTCTCTCATGACTGTTTCTCACTTCTCTGTTTTACGTGAGCTATTTCAGTCTCAAATCCTGTGACAGACTTTACTTTCAGGTAAATTAACAGGAAACTTTGTTCTGTTATACAGCATTTCCTCAGTGATGCCTCTGCAACCTATTTTGATCTAGGAAAGAGGACTAAAATAAAACAAACTCCACAGTTCAATTACATAATCAGAAAACCCATGGTCCCAGCTGCTGCTTGTAGCTCAACTTTCTGTGGGCAGCAGCTGGTGACTAATTCATTGCTTCCTGTTCTCCAAAGGCTCTACCAAAACCGTTCTGTTTCAGTAGGTTTTAAGAGACTTGTGTGTAATTTGAAGGTCTTGTCATAGCAACTCTCCTTAGAAACCATAGAGTTGAAGCCTTCACTCCTTTAGGTCTCCTTTAAAATATCATCTGCAACACAAGATTATTCATTTTCTGCTCATAAACACAGCTTGCTGCTGGTAATGATGTAAATCTTCATAAATTAACCTTTTCTTCCTTCCTGAGCTAGAAATTAAGCTTTACTAGTATTGCTACAATACAAGGTCACTATAAGAGGATGAGGAGGAAAAATAAATTCACCCTCATTGAGTGACTCCATTCTCCCTCGGTGAAACACTACCACTCAGATGTCAGCACTCTGAAGCTTGTGGCTTCACAAACAACAAAGGGAAAAAAAAAAAAACAAAACATAAAACAAATCACAATACACACAAGTTTACTTTGTCATGATCCATTCTTCCTTAGATCTCAAGCATGCATCCCTGTGTTTAACTGTAGGAATTACTGCCTAAGGAAGGGAAATCTTTGAGAAAATAGCACACTCTTGCATACCACCTATTGGAAGAAAGAGGAAGACAGTAAGCCTACCACCAGCTCCAGCAGCAGTATTCCAGCCTGAAGGAGTGCTGAGTGTCTTAGCTTGTGAAACACTGAGAACTCCAAAGATGGTGAATTTAACAATCCAATAGTAATCTATTCTGGCATTTAATTATCATTATTTTTACAAAGCTGTCCCGAATTCCTTATGCAGCTTACTGTGGTTCAGTCACTAGACATTAATTGTGCCTTTCTCTGCTGGATTTAAGTACTTTCTATTAACCACTATAAACATATATGCTGTAATCAAGTGACATCTCAATTGTATAACGGATACAGCAAGCAGATTGTGCTCAGCTTCTCACAGCAAGCTGTCTTCTAAACTTAGGAACATGTCAATGATTCTTTTCTTCGCCTGCTGCAATTTTTCAATACTTTTAAAAAATATGGATTTTAAACAGCAATTTCTCAATATCATGTACAAATACCTAAAATACACTTTTTTTTTCTTTTCTTTTTCATTATTTCTTCTTCCACAGCACATGGAAATAACTAGCAACAAGTTCTACTCTGTTCTGAGCACAAAATATTAGAACAGAGACAGGTGCAAAAACTTGACTAGTTTAGTGAGGTTGTAACTAATCACAAATGCCTCAAGAGCCAAATAAGTTATCATTAAACAATGTTTAATTAAACATTCAGCTGCTCCTAACTCTCTAGATACTGGGAGCACCCCACAGAATAAAACCACGTTATCAGCCCTGAAAGAGAAATGCAAAACCATACATTCCCATTCCATGCTCCTCCTGACTCAGAAGGATTTGAGACTGACTGCTAACAAAGCCCATTTGTTTTCCCTTATTGCTAACAACTCCCACCTGACCTTCCTTAGGAAAGGCTGAGCAAACCTTGCTGTTTAATCCCTTCAGTTTCAGATTAAACCTTCAGCTTCAAGTAGCTTAGCTGTGCATCTCTGAACACAAGCTGGGAACTCTGCATTATGTACATTAAGTAAATATTAATAGGTATGGTAACTGTTGAGTCAGGGCCTGAACAGATTGAACACCTGGGGAAAGGACCCAGTCTGCCCTGAGAGCACAGCAATTAGAACTATACTGGAGTATGTTATCTTCATGGACAATTAATGGTTTTACTGGTTCTACAGGTTTTGGTGGTACCTAATCACTTTTCCTATAGTTAAAATAAAATAGTATGCCCGCATCATAGGCATATCAGGTAACAAGTTTGGACTGTTTGATCAAGGGTCATTAAACGCTGGACGCTATAATAGAAACTCCTCTGAGGTGTGAAGGTGTTTATGGATTTAAAAAACTCCTGGAAGGGACAATGGTCACTAACAGTCATTTGTACATTAAGTAAAAATACAAAGTTAATTGCAGAATTGCAGGATTGTGTTGATTCATTAATCTGAGAACGCCAGATATACATTCCTCAGGTGATATCATGCAACAGGGCTTGACAAATTAACTGAGAACCATGTTATTAAACTAAAGAGCCCTTCTAAATCAGATAACATTTCAAATGTATTACTTAATTTCTAATTCATCTGTTTCCAGATAAATCTTCCCAAATCTTTGATTTAATTTTCAGATGCTACCACATCATAGAAATGCTCTTTCCCACCCCACACCCCCATTTGTATTTACCTTCGGTATTGCAGATTTCCTCTTGGTATGGCACTAAATACATTCTCAAAAAGGTTCTTCCACTTTTTGACAACTTACAGAGATTTTAAAATACAGTTGAAATAATTAGAAAAGGTAAATGTTTCTTGTTCCCATCATGTTTCCAATAAGTAAAACCTTATGCTAAGAGTAAACAAACTAACCTTATCAAAGCTTCTAAGTGATTTAACTTTCTTCAAGCTTCCAATCCACTATGTTCCTCCCATCCAGTGCTCTACTTCCTCTGCAGTTTATATTTATCACTTTCTCTGTTGCCTTTTGCTTTTGAAGGAAAAAAAAAAAAATCAAGTTTATTCAATCCCATTTTGTAAGACAAATTATCTTTTGCCACGGTCATCTCAGTAGCCTTATTGATCTATTCACGTTTTAATTCCTCTTCACTGATGAATTATAGGAATTTACAGATTTTGAGAATATATTCATATCACTTAAACTACTATTGCACTTCACCTAAATGAGCAATTTGAAATTTTTTGAAGTACTTCTGATTTTTCTACCCAGGAAATGACATATAAATGCTTTTATGTATCTTCCTCTCTACGTATTTTAATTTATTTATTTTGAACTAGATGTTGTGAAGATTCAAGTATCAGGATGTTGTTACTATACTTCATTAATCACAAAATCATGGATCTGGAAAGGCTAACAAAATATTAGCAAGTCAATCTGGCCACCAAAGGCCACGATATCTTCAGAGCAATTTCTGAAAATCATAGATAAAATGGTTATTTAAATTATTTTACAGGCAACAAATGGCAAGGATTGAACAAATTTCCTTCTGACTGAACCCAAAATGAAAATGCCAGGAACACAACTATTACAAATGCATGGCTAGAACTGGCTAGAGTCACTTCAGCTTCCACGTGAACCCAGCTCAGCTGAGCATTACAAAGTCTTTAGCAGCATTAACATACTTGTCCATGAGTTTTTCATCTGCAGCAACTGCTCCCTTTTCCCTGAAACAGGCAAACAGACTTTTTCTTCTGCCTGTAGCTCATAAAATCAGATTGTGACTTAGAGATGCTCTCTGAAACTTGCGTAAGTAGGAATAACCTGGCCAGGCAAAAATACAAGATAAAAAAGCTCCTTCAGAGACAGCTTGAAGCTCACCCAGAGTTAGCTACCTCTGATTTTTTATTGCTTTTTGTTCTGGAATTCCCATTGTTGGCTCAAACCTAAGAGCTGACTCAGAAGTCACGCAGCACGTGAGATCAAATTTGACTTCCCTTCTCTTCCAAAGTCAGGCTACTGCTATTGTTAGTGTTCACGCTGAAGTACTTTTTATTGAGAGTGTAAATCCAGCAAAAGGCTAGGATTTGTAACTGAAGAATTAGAGGTCTTATTAGCTTTTCTGCATTTGCAATTCAAATAAGTGCATATTTATTTCGCTTATAAACTAGCTGTGATTGTGTTGCCTGCTCTTTTGCAAATATAACTTGAGAAATTTCACTGCCTTACTCTAAAAAATGCAAAATGATATTCCTTTCTAGGGCATACAGTGTTTGAGTTATGAAATATCTTGCAAGTGCGTACCAAGCTGTCTTTCCAAGTCACCTGACTCAATTTCATGAATCAAACTAGCATTTAAACTCAAATTAAACTCAGATTTGTTAGAAGATAAAACTAATGCTTTGAATACAAA